TTTAATAACATTTATATGACTATATATATGTATATATATATATATATTAATTATATGGTTGTATAAATGTTATTAAATTATAAAATATATGTAATATTAATTATATATTTATTTATTTACTGTATTTAGGGATGAATACATTTTAAAAATAAGTTAAAAATGTATATATAATAAATATATTGTAATTCATTGAAAAAATGGTGCGGAAACAGCCTCTAGTAGCCTAACTTTCACAAATAATTACAAAGAAAAGGCAAGTAACACATTGAATTAAACATGATATTTCAAAGTAGAAAGACTAAGAGTATTTTCTTGTATAATATGCTCCAATAATCTTCAAAAAAACATTTTACAGTGTAAATGTACTGTAATACAGTATATTTAGTTTTAAAGCAGCATCTGTAGCTCCAGATGTCTTTATCTGCTTCCGTCCGTCTGTGAGTGTTTTCTCTCCAATCAGCCGTTTATCTCTGAATGGACTGAATGACATTGTGAGGATCTTATCAGCTGCGCTTACATCTGATTACAGAGTCTGTTCACATGCAAATTCAGCCGATCCTCTCGTCTGTCCTGGAGCTTCTTCATCCAGACGCTTTGAGCTGATCTCATCAGCAATGCATGCAGAACTTCACGGTTAATGGTTAATGGTTGATGGTTAATCTTCACAGATGTCTCGCACGTCTTCTTTGATTTAACCTGAACTCTTCCAGAGCGCTTTCACGCTCAAACATATTCTTAGATCCAATGAAAAACCAAACTGTTCCCTTATTTCTTTGCTGAAAGCCAACTGAAAGCCACCCAGAAAGAGTCGTTTGGGTCTGAGACGTCACTCGTGATGAGCTGCTGTTGTGTAAACGCACGGTGAACTCTGACCCCCGCTTTCTCACCGAATGAGGCTCTCAGACGCCGGTAAAGAAGCAGAGCAATTACCTTGTCGTCGTCTTCAGCTAAAACATGTCCCTCTGAAGCTTACGGGGGAATCTGACCTCTGTGTGGAGCGTTAAAGTTAATGCGGTCTGCTCTAAAAAAAAACGTTGGTGTAGGATTTTGTAAAAACAAATTTCACTCGGAAATTTGCTTGTGAATTTTGCAAATAATTACAGAGAAACTGCAAATAATGCATTGAATTAAACGTGCAGTTTTGAAGTCAAAAGATTGAAATTGCATTTCCTATAAAACACTCTAATAATCTTCCAGGAAACCATATATATATATATTTAAATGTGGGTGAGTATATTAGTTGATTTAGTTATAGCATCGTTTAACCATAAAAGTGCATCAGAAGTCAATCTACTCATAGTAGTGTTATAAACATCTAATTTATTTCCTTAAACTCAATTTAGACATATTTTCTTAATGGGATAAATGCATGTAGCTGTATGAAGATGTTGAGAAGTTCTTGCCGACAGATGTGTTTGTTTGAAAGTGTTTTTCTCGGCTATTGAGTCTCAAATGTCTGTGACATGCAAACGCAGCCAGATGTGCCGCTGCAGTGGCATAATGACTTCAGTCATCATCAGAGTCTCTTTATCTGCGGAGCGTTTGAAGATTCTCCGCTGGAGTCCATTCAGTCCTCAGACTCCCGCGAGTCTGAAACACGTCTGTGTCACTCAAGCTGTTTTAACTGATAGTAATTATTAGTGGTGTTTGTCAAGTCAGTCAGATACTATTGTAACTTTAATAAAACATATTTTGAATTAGTTTTTGTATCTCGTTTTCATATTATTTGAAAGTTTTAGTATTTTTAGGTCATTTTTATTAGTAATTGTTTTAGAAATGTTTCTATGTAGTTTTTATTAATTTTGCTTCAGTTTTAATTTTAGTACATCAACTTTAACCAAATGAGATACTGTTGTATTATTATTATTCGTTTAAAAAAAATATTTTGTATTAATTTTTATTTTTCTATTTTGTATTTTCCTTTTAGTTTGTTTTAGTCATTATGTGGTGTTTTTTTATGTATATATGGTTTTTATAATGTTTTTGTTTTATTTTAGTACGTTAACATAAACTAAATTAGATACTATTAAAGTTTGAGAGATGCTATTATATATATATATATATATATATATTTTTTTTTTAAATTTTAACATTTTAGTTAAAGTTTTAGTGATTTTTTTTGTTTTTGTCACATTATTAGTTTTTTTTTTATGTCTATTGTTTTTATTTTTAGTAGATCAACAAACTAAATGAGATACTATTAAAGTTTGAGAAATACTTTTATAGTTTAATACTTTAGATTTGTTTTTATTTAGTATTTTTGTTTTAATTTTAGTGAAAGTGGTTGTGCTTTATAGTTTTTATTAATTTTTATCTAAATTTTAGCTTTAGTTATTTTAGTACCTCAACTTTAAACGAAAATGAGAAATGTTACTTTAGTAGCTAGCTAAAATAAAGTATTAAAATATTTTTTTAATACTTTATTTATATCAGTTAACTTTTTTTTTATGGTTGTAGTTTTAGATTTAGTTAACTATAACAACCCTGAAAACGAAGTATCCTATAATAACTAATATACATATTAAAGTAGTAAAATAATTAGCATTAAAGTTGAGTTTGTTCATCTTCTTGCAGCGTTACTTTACTAAATGATCAAATGCATGATGAGTTTGTAGTTGAACAAAACTCCCAGCTCTGATTTTGCTCTAAAGCTCACTTTGACCTCATGACCTGCTTCATCTTCACAGTTCCCTCTCATTGAGCTCTTTGCTGTCAGTAATGATGCTTATCTCCTCACACCAAAGGCCAGCTTCGGTCAGTTGTCCAAGAAGTAGTTATTTGTGTCATGAATGGCAGCACACGGACACATGGGCGGATGGATGGATGGATGTCGCTCTTCAAAGAAAGAAAGAGAAAACGCAGAAGAGCAGTTCAGAGCGAATGCCTCTTCAATGCTTTTGTTAAACCGCTCTTCGTCTGTCATTCCAGGTCTGTTTCCCGCTATCCTGAACCTGGCCAGCAATGCTGAAATCACCACGAACGCCACCTGTGGCGACCCGCTTCCCGAGATGTTCTGTAAACTGGTGGAGCACGTTCCTGGAAGACGAATCCGTAACCCTCAGTGTCGGCTCTGTGATGCAAACAGCCAGAATCCCAAAGGTAACGAGATTCGCCCTGACAGTTCACGTCCAGAATAAACATTTCCTGATAATTTACTCACCCCCATGTCATCCCAGATGTTCATGTCTGTCTTTATTCAGTCGAAAAGAAATTAAGATGTTTGAGGAAAGCACAAGGTTCCCGCGGGTCCTTAAAATGTCTTAAATTTACTTGTATCAAAGTTAGGGTCATAAAAAGTCTTTCAAGAGGTCTTAAATTTGGGTACAGATAGGGCAATATGACGATTTTTGATCGTGGACGATAAAAGTGTCTCCACGATCTGCTTCTGAAGAAATATGGTTGTATCGTGCTACAGTGCATCATTTGCATCTGTTTTAAAGCCTTGCCGGTTAAAGGTTTCATTCGCGCGCTGGTCTGACATGCGCTTTTTTTTTTTATATATATATATTTTGAAAATATTTACATGTATTTCCATGTCTATATTTATATTCATAGAATGTATATTATAGATAAATATATTTTTCTGAAACGTATACATGCATGTGTGTGTATTTATATATACATAATAAATATACAATGCACACATACATATTATGCAAACAAAAAGTTTTATTTTGGGTGCGATTAATCGCGATTAATCGTTTGACAGCACTAATAAAAATATGATGAATTTCGATGATTCTAAATGCATTTCAATAGACTATGTTAGCTCAGATCCGTTAAATAATATTAACAGATACAACTTTTGATTTTAGTAATGCATTAGTAAATGCAGAAATGAACTAGGTTTAAGAAATGTTTTTTTCCATTGTTAGTTCACGCTGGCTAATGTAGTTAACCAATGCAACGTTACAGTAAAGTGTTTCTGATTTATCTTTCGTATCAGACATCTGTGCAGACATGACATGCTGAGACAAGTTAATTCCTACCAGTATTTATTCTTGAACATTTGCAGTCGCTTTTATTTCACTTTATTCTTTTGAACAGAGCAACATCCCATTACTAGCGCCATCGACGGCACCAACCAGTGGTGGCAGAGCCCGAGCATCAAGAACGGCCGTCAGTTCCACTGGGTCACCGTCACTCTGGACTTACGACAGGTAGGACTCGTGTGGTGTTTGTGTGTCTGTTTCATGTTCACAGCTGCTATCAAACACACGTGACGCTCGTCTCAATACATGAGCAGCTTCATTTGAGAAAAACTACCGTCAAACACACACTGAAACTCGAAAGATCTTCACTACAAACCACGGAAATAAAAGTTTAACTTGAAGAACTTATGACAGAAATACATTACTATTTACTATTATATACGAAAATGTAATTCTTAAAGTAATAATACACATATAGAGAGAGATGGATATTTTCTTCATTACGTTTTAATGTACACAGTTCTGTTGTGCAGCATCTTATTTGACAAAAATGTGATGTAAATTATTTTTATTTGATTAAATGTAAAAAAATGGATTAAATTGTTTTGTCAACTAATTTCATTAGACACCATTTTTTTGACACCATTTGCATGAAATCATAAAACACAGAATACAGGAAAAATAACATTTAGGGACATTTAGAATTTAGCGAAAATAAAACAGATTTTATGGCATCCTAAATATAGAAGGTAGCTTATCCTGTGGACTTCAACAGGTTCTGTTTACATACATTGTCACGGTCTGACAAACATGTGGAAAGCGTTTTCTTCGCTATTAATGCTAAACAAATATTGTGATGAATATCAATATCGTATGATATGGAAAAAATACCAGTGATAGTATTTTTGGCCCTGCCTCTCACTCATTAGCCGCTATAGGGAAATAACTTGAAGAGTAAGAAAGCTACGTCTCAGTTTGTGTACTTGTGCATTAATCTAGTCCATTTTGTGTAAGTATTTGTAGTGTTACAGACTTGACTTTGGCGAGATCTCAAGCTGTGCTGGTTTAATCTCAGCGGAGGGCCGTGAAGCTGGTTTTATGCTCCCCTCCTCCTCTGTCGTTGTCCGTCAGCCGTTCTGTCCCACCGTTAGGATAATGCTTGGCTAATTGTACACTAGCTGCTAGTTTCCTTCGTGTCTGAATGGAGGAGCGGTGAGGAGGTGTTCAGGAGCGTTTAGAGCCCCTCAGGGGCCGCCGAACACAAGTGTGTTTGTCTAGAGAGGTCGAGAGACACACTAATCCCAAAACTAGAAACAATCCACTGCATTCCAGCGCTGATAATACACACAACTATTCCACATGAGCCCACTAACCATGATGCTCTGCAGTCACACACACTCCGTGACGCTTGAAATACGTAAACGTTAACTGAAATAAAATAAAATATAAAACCCTTAAATGTATTTTATTTCTGAGAGTTTTCAAGGCAACATTTTCATTAAATATAATAATAAATATTAGTGCTGTCAAACGATTAATCGCGATTAATCACATCCAAAATAAAAGTTTTTGTTCACATAATATATGTGTGTATATGTATTATGTATATATAAATACACACACATACAATATATATTTTGAAAACATGTACATGTATATATTTTTCTTAAATATATGCATGCATGTGTGTGTATTTAGTTATACATAATACATACACACACATATATTATGTGAACAAAAACTTTTATTTTGGATGCGATTAATCGTTTGACAGCACTAATAAATACTATATAGACATTTTAAAATAGATGCATAAATAATTAAAATGCAAAAATAGCAAGCTAAAAAAACTGAAACTAGTAAAAAATGAATAAATACTATATTGACAAATTGCATACAGCAACTAAAACTAAAGCAAACTAAACTAATAAATATTAATATGTAAAATAACAAACTAAAACTAATAAATAAAAAATACTATATAAACACAACAAAATTACTAAAACTTTAAGTGAAATTAAAATGAAAACAAAATATGAAAATAAAATCTAATTCAGAATATAAAGAAAACTTGCATGGATATGCTGATGGCATACGTTATTTTAGTATCATTGATATGCAGTTATAGTTAAAAAAAATATTTTCATTTTAATTTGAGTTAGTTTTTTGTTGTGTCCCCCCCCCCCCCCCTTTTATTAGTATTTACTTTTATTATAAGTTTTTTTTCTCTGTATAGTTTTTATTCATTTTTATTTCAGTTTAAGTTATTTCAGTACATCAGGGTTAGACGTAACTAACTGAAAAAAATATATATTACATTTTATTTTGGTTAACATTTTATTTCAAGTAACAATTTTTTTTTTTTTTTTTTTAGAATTTAATTTTTGCTTTAGTTTTAGTTAAATACTGTATAATAACCCTCATAGACACTTGCAAAAGAAGCTTTTTGGAGATGATTAAAATGCATTTAATCAATCTGCCAAATTATTATTGTTTTATTTTTCATATTTTAATATCTAAAGTCTCAAATATATGTGCAACAATATTAGCAGTGCCAAAAAGCTTGGTGAGACCATCTGAAACCACAGAATAACCACAAAGTTCCCCAGCGTAAATGTTTAAGCGTCTGAAGCTCAGTGTTCCTGTAAATAATCCGCCGATGTGGCAGTGATTCTGGAGTTTGCGGCTGGTGCTTTTATGCTGTCGTCTGGAGTGAGGATGAGTCAGGCCTTTGTCTGTGTTCACTGAGGGCCGCAGGGGGAAGGGAAACACACACATAAAGCAGGGCCGACCCCGACGGGGCCTCAGGCCATCAGTGCAGGATTACACATGCTAATGGGCCCCTACACACACACACACACACATACCTGGAGGGGTCGGGTGGGCCGCTGGAGCCCAGGTGAGCTCTTTACAGCGACCTCAAGACGTAGTTGAGCACTTAACTCTTTCCCCACCAAACATGGAATTTTCTGTGTTTTCACTGTTAAAGAGTAATATTTATTAGTTTTAGTTTTTGTTATTTTACATATTAATATGAACATTAATCAACACATTCCTAGGAAATAGTGGGTTCACAGCGAATTATCAGAACTACTTCAGTAATATCGTGCTTTACCTGGAAACCTAAAGCTGCACTAGGTGTACATCACATATTAGCACAACTTTTTGAGCACTCAGTTGAAAATGTGCACATAACGTATCAATCGTACTTACAGGTTGTGGTTCGGAGAGCTTGTTAGTCCAAATTAAGAAACCAACACAGCTGTTGAAGGTCCTCCTGAGGTGTTTGGACAGCAGACGGTGTGTGTTTATGCTGTCTGGGGGGCCACAGGCGATAACGGGCCCCAAATGGCTGTTTGACTTGTGTTTGTTTGGTCAGGTTGTGTTAACAGGATCACGAGACAGCTGATTTCCTCTGATGTGAATCTGGTGGGATTTTACTCATCAAAAAAGATAAAATAGTAACAATGAGTAGGAATGATGTGTTTTATCTGAAAGTCATTCAGTCTGTTGCTGTTTAAATTATTATCCAGACGGCCTTGAGTTTGTGCAGACGACACAGTGTGTTATTTTGTCTCAGAAAACAATTATTATTTTGTCTAATGTGAAGATTATACTCCCCAACGTTTTTGTCAGTCGAACCCCTTTGACATAAAATATTTACTTGAAGTACCAGGGTTATAATAGTTGACTAAAACTAAAACCGTAAAAGCATTTTCATCACTTGAAATAAAGTAAATGTTAACTAAAATAATAAAATTAAATGTTAAAAAAACGAAACGCTTTTTATTTCAACTAGCTGCCAAAGTGACATTTCTCATTTTCGTTTAATTTAACTAAACTAAAACGAATAAAATAGTAAAAATGACAAAAACACTACAGCAAAACGTAACTAAAATTAAAATGAATGACTGATTTAAAATGACAAAATCTATAATACACTCTTAAAAATAAAGGTGCTTCACAGCGATGCCATAGAAGAACCATTTTTGGTTCCACAGAGAAGCATTCAATCAAAGGTTCTTTAAAGAACCGTCTCTTTCTTACCTTTTTATAATCTGAAGAACCTTCTTTCGCCACAAAGAAGCTTTAGTGAAACAGAAAGGTTCTTCAGATGTTAAAGGCTCTTTATGGAACCATTCAGACAAAAAGGTTCTTCTGTGGCCTTTCAGCTTTATTTTCAAGAGTGCAGTGTCTGAATGATAATAAAATAACACCGTGAAAGTCAGATTTTTCTCATTGTACTTGCACTCATAAATACACCACATTATGTAGGTAAATGATTAGTGAACAATTTCATGTTGACTTTAAACCTCAATCAAGAAATCAACATGGATCTACTTCTGCCCTTATTAAAATCCAGCCGTTGTTGTTGTTTTGCCTAGCAACCATCCCATAATTCTGCAGTCGCGTAACCTGTGATTATCACCGCTGTATGAAAGTACTTCAGCATGTCAGTGAATGTTGCTCTGATCTTCAGTGGAACATCAGCCTGTAATCCCTCATTTCCATTCATTTCCATCCGCTGGTGTCTTCAGTCGCTCTTCAATGCGGGGATTCCGGAAATCTCATGAACGCAGATCAAATGCATGAGGATGAAGTCTGTCATTACGTTCAGAGATGTGTGTTTGTGTGTGTCCTCGTCTGTACATCGCTAAGCATCCAGTAAACACAGACGAACACACACATCAGAGTTAGAAAAGACCACCAGAAGAGACTATCATGATGCACTTACTTTATTTATTTTTATTTTAGTGTTGTTTTTATACTATTATAGTCTTTATTAATATTTAAAATGTATTTTTAGTTTTCATTTAATATTTATTTACATTTTTAGTCATTTTGTGATTTTGCCGTTTTTATTAGTTTGTGTTTCAAAAAAAATTCTTGGAAATTTTCTTATTTCTTATTAGTTATATTTCCTATGGAAGCTATTTCCGTCACACACACACAAATCATGCTTTCATAAGTCATAATTGTGACGTTAATAGTCAAAATTTTGAGATAAAAATGTCAAAGTATGACATACTAAATCATAATTATGAGATAAAAACTTGAAATTGATGTACTAAGCCAGAATTGACTTTAAAACTCCAAATTATGACGTAACTTGAAATTATGACACTAATTCATAATTATGAGATAAAAACTTGAAATTGATGTACTAAGACGAAACTGGCTTTAAAAGTCAGAATGGATATGAAAAGTTAGATTTATGAGATACTAAGTCAGAATTGTGATCAGAATTATGATCCTATATTATCATCCTAATCATAATTATGAGATGAAAGTCATTTATGTTAAATAAGTCAATTATGAGCTTAGAAGTCTATTATCGTAGAAGACTATTTATCTCATAATTTTGTCTTACTATCTCATAATTATGACATGTACAATTTTGACTTTTAAAGTCATAATAATAATGACACAAGTCGAAATTATGACCAAAACTCAATTATGAGATAAAAAGTTGACATTATCTCATAATTGGGTTTGTCATAATTTCAATTTTTATCTCGTAATTATGACTTACATAATTACTTAACAACTTTTAGTAATTTAGTTGTTTATTTAAATTTTTATTAGTTTTTGTTTTTGAATAATATTATAATTATAATATTATAAATATTAATATTATAATTTTTTTTATATCTCTATATAGTTTTTATTAATATTTTGAGTTAGGTTTTATTTTTATATTTTTCATTTATATATTCCGTTTTCGTTTAGTTTTTGTCGTGTTTTGTTAGTTTTTGTATTTAAAGTTAAAACATTTTTATCTCATTTGTAGTTATTTTAGTACCGAGTTAAACGAACTGAAAAGGAGAAATATTGTTTTGGCCAATGGCTGAAATAAAAAAAGTTAAATTTTTAAAAAGATGTTATTTCAGTTCATGTTGTTTTGTTTTTCGAGCAGCAAAAATGTTCTTCTGGTTTTAGTTACCGATATTAACCCTCGTCCCGCAGGTCTTCCAGGTGGCGTACATCATCATCAAAGCGGCGAACTCTCCGCGGCCCGGGAACTGGGTTCTGGAGCGCTCTCTGGACGGAGTGGACTTCCAGCCGTGGCAGTACTACGCCATCAGCGACACCGAGTGTCTGACCCGATACAACATCACACCCCGCCTCGGGCCGCCCACCTACAAGAGAGACGACGAGGTCATCTGCACATCCTACTACTCGCGCCTGGTGCCGCTGGAGCACGGCGAGGTGAGCAGTGCATGATGGGTAACCAGGGTCACGCCGGGTCACAGTATCATTTATGCTAGTGTTTATTAATATTTTGATTAAATTAATTTTTAATACGTTTTCTTTTTGATTTTAGTTAAAGTTTTGGTAATTTCTAAAAAGTATTAGTTTTAGCTTTTTAGAAATGTCTAGTTTGCATTAATATTTTTCACTAGTTGTTATGTTTTCCGTTTTTATTTTATTTTAACTTAATTTTTTAGTAGTTTTGTCATTTTTATTAATTTCTTATCAATATTTCCATATAGTGTCTATGAAAATTAAGTAGTTTTTTTTTTTGCATTTTAGTAATTTTGTTGCATTTTTGTTTTTTAGTTTTTAATTAATTTAATATTTAGAATGAGTTCATTTTTTGTTATGTTTTTCTATTTTTTTTTTTGTTTTAGTAATTTTATCATGCTTTTTTTCTACTTTTTTTATAAATATATCTGTTTTTTTTTTCAGTTTTAGTTATTTAAAATGGGAAATGTTGCTTTGGCAATTATCTGAAATAAAATAACTTAACGTTTTTAAATATTTAATTTAATTTAATTTAATGTTTATTTTATTTCAAGTAACTCAAATGTTTTTATGGTTTTAGTTAACAGTAATAGCCCTGGGTCACAGCTGGATCTGTTATAGTGTGTCAGAATGCTGGGAAGAGTTTGTATCATTTATTTTGACACAATAGATGCAGTGACAGTCAGAAACAAGTGTATCGCATCTAGAGGTCATGAAGATCAAACTGGACTGTTGAATAAACAATAAAAGGAAGACTTAGACTAGTTAGAAGAGCAAATGAAATGAATGGTGGCGGTGTCTCTCCTCAGATCCACACGTCTCTCATAAACGGCCGACCCAGCGCAGATGATCTGACCCCAGAGCTGCTGGAGTTCACCTCTGCTCGCTTCATCCGGCTGCGTCTGCAGAGGATCCGAACGCTCAACGCCGACCTCATGACCCTCAGCTACCGCGACCCCAAAGACGTGGACCCCATCGTCACCCGGCGGGTACGGAGCACCGCTTTAAACCAGCTTTAAACTTTTATAGATGTAGTGCCATGTTCTCAGATGGCTGTACAATGAAATGATCACCAGGCTTACATTTATGTGTTCAGCAGATGCTTTTATCCAAAGGGACTTGCATTGTGTACAAGGTGTTCAGTTCATGCATTTCCTGGGAATCGAACCCATGACCTTGGTGTTGCTTGCGTTATGTTGTTCTGTTTGAGCTACAGAAATGCTCGTGTAACATGGTCTTTAAGTAATCATTTTAAGTATTTTATATATTTGTGTGCGCGTGTTTGAGTGTGTGTGTGTGTGCGCATGTGTTTAAAGTGAGTGTGTGTGTGTGTTTGAGTGTGAGTGTGTGTGTGTGTGCGTGTGTTTAAAGTGAGTGTGTGTGTGTGTTTGAGTGTGAGTGTGAGTGTGTGTGTGCGAGATAACTTATAAAATTTATATAGCTTATAAATAATTTAAAAAAATTAAACATTATTTATAAATTACATACATTTGAAATATTCAAACATTCATATTAAATATTTATATAACGTGATTTTTAAAAGTATCTTCAAGATGTTTCATCATATACATAAATTATTAATAAATTACAATTTTGTAAATTTATATTCATTTTAAATATTCATATTAAATATTAATATAACATTTTTATAAAGCGGAGAGTTCCGGTGCTTGACTCTGATTGGCTGAGCCGCGTTCGAAGCTGTTGTAAATGACGCTACAAAGTAACACACACCTTTGTTTACGTTTGTGTGTTGCTCGGCAACCACTTTGTAGCAACCACAACTGTTTCTGAGGAGCTACATTGTTTGGTGGAAGAATACTGTGTTTATTAATATCATTACACTTTATTTGCTCTGTTTTATTTTGTGAAACCTTACTATGTGTATGGAATAACCGTTTTATAAAAGTAGTAATCCCCGTGAAGCCGTGGTTCACAGTGAATTTATAACAGCTAAGAGGGTTTACTCCGCTTCGAGTCGTAACGAACAACGCCCCTTAGCTGTTATACATTCACTGTAAACCACGGCTTCTTGGGGCTTGTAGCTTTATTAAAAGGTACTTCAAGACATGGTCCTCTTTTGTTAATAGAGTAATAGCTGAAGTGAAGGACTAACTCTGTCCTGCTCTGGTTTGCAGTATTATTACTCCATCAAGGACGTCTCGGTGGGCGGGATGTGTATCTGTTATGGCCACGCCCAGAGCTGCCCCTTGGACCCTGTTACCAAGGTAACTAACAACAAACACCATCCCATTGGAACTCAAGCTGTCAATCAAATATAAACTGAAGCCCCGCCTCCCCAAAGTCGCTATAATTGTGCCTGCTGTCGTAAAAATGAAGATCACTTGAATAAAGCGATATTTTCTTTTTTGCATAAACACTATGTATGAGGATGTGTGTGTGTGTGTGTGTGTGTGTGTGTGTGTGTGTGTGCGCGTGTGTGTGTGTGTGTGTGTGTGTGTGTGTGTGTGTGTGTCTCTCTCTCTTTTCTTTTTTGTCTGTCTGTCTCTCTCTCTGTGTGTGTGTGTGTGTGTCTCTCTCTGTGTGTGTGTGTGTGTGTCTGTCTCTCTCTCTGTGTGTGTGTGTGTGTGTCTCTCTCTCTCTC